CTTTTCATAAGCAATGTTATTATATGTTTACATATGTGTGTGTGTGTGTGTGTGTGTGTATATATATATATATATATATATAGCTGCAAAGTGGCCGGCGGGCCTCCAACTCTACTAATTGATAAGTAAATACAAGTTCTTATCTTATTGAAAGGTTAAGTTAAAGATGTAATTCAACTCCCACAATTATCTCTAAAACCGGATGTTTCCAAACATTAAATATAATCGAAAATACTTTAACATAAATATGTGAAACTCATAGAATTTGTTGAATACATTAAAGTGACCAAGCTATATTAAAGTGTCGGGCCTGGTTGAGGAGGGTTCTCTAACTAATTAGGATGTCCTAGCTGATCTTCACACTAGTTTCCTTCTTCCTTTTAATTATAACAAAAAATCTAATGAAGTTGATTTGATATTTTAAAACATTTGCCCTACCGGTAAAAGATTTTTTCACCGTGAAAATTTCTCATTCTCAAATAGCCAATAATAATAATAATAATAAACCTAGGAGAAGAAAAGGGAAAAAGAACATGAAAAATTTTTCATTATCAAATAGCCAAAAAAAAAAAAAAAAAAGAGTTTCTCTGGTAGAACAATAAAAAATGAACTATCGATAATTCTATACTTTTCAGTCATCAGATCTGTATAAGAGACTGTCTATTTTATATATATATTTTTAATATGATGTAATTTTGACCAGATTTAACGTTTAAAAATTGACCCTACAGGTAGACCGGCCTACCAGAGAAGGTCAAAAAAAGAACATGAATATTTACATTTTTATATCCTGTGTTTTGAGTTTATTCAAAAATAATACATTCAGTTTTTGATCTCATCAAATGCATACTTTTAAATTACATTTAACACTCAAATTTATACATTTTCACAGTCAATCCTCTATTTTAAGCATAAAATACATAAAGTATCCTTAAATAAAAATAGAAAAATAAAAAAAAATTTAAACTTACGGTTTTAACCTTAAACATATTCAAAATACCATTGAAATGGGGTTTTTTTGTGTTTTTATTTTTTATTTTTGTAATATTTGAAAGTTTTTTTTATTTTTTCTCTTTTTCTTAAGGCTTTTTAAAGGTTAAAATCAATTATTGACTGAGATAAGGGATAGATTTGTATATTAAATCTAATTTGAAGGTATACATTTAATGAGATTAAAAATTGAAGGTATAAATTTTGAATAAATTTAAAATACGTGACACCCCATCAAAGAAATTAATGAGGAAAAGGGTAGCAAAGAAATTAGGTAGCCAGCTATCTCGGTCTTTCCATTGTCTTTTCATTATTTTTGTTTATATTTGTATATGTATATATATATATATATATATTGATTGTAATTACAGAACTCAATGCTCCACAAACACACATGATTTCATATGCACAACTGTTGTTAGGTAAGTGACTCAAATTAGTCATTATTTTACATTTTTTGAGTAAGTTACTGTATTATATTTTTGAGCAATGGTTATTAGGAGTCTATAATTAAGTGCTTTGTGTAGAGTTTTATGTGTACTAAAAAAATGTGTGCTCAAAGAAAAGTACAGAGAAAGAATGCCTCCTTTTGAGAGAGAGAGAGAGAGAAAAGTGAGAGAAATAGGCAAAGGTGTAAGGGGTTTTGGGTAGAGAGAAAGTGAGAAAGTTGTATGTGTGTTTAATTATGAAAGTGTTAGTGAATTTTTCTCCCTCTTCCGTGGATGTAGGAAATTTTCTGAACCACCTAAATCTCTGTCTTCTCTATTTTTCTGTTGTTTTTTCAATTTATTTTTAGCTGTGTGGGTGTAGAGGTGTGTTTTTCCTAAAAATATGGTATCATAGCTGATGGTTCGTTCGGGTCAAGCGATCACACTTGGTTGTAGTTGCAGGTGAGGATGGTGAAGCATTTGGTGGACTCGCATGGTTTCGGCTCTCTTTTCCATGCTTGAGTTGGCTCCCGTTTAGAGTGTGATGCTTGGATGTGTCGGCTACTTAAAAACTTTAGTTCAGGGGGAGCTCGGTGAACACACACATGAGGGGGAGATTGTTGAGAAAAGTGCATGTGTGTGTTGTCCCACATGGAAAGTGGATGAATATGTGAAATGATTTATATACATGAAAGGACTCGAGACCTAATAGGCTAACCTTTTAGGTCAAATTGGGCTCCTGAAGTGTATTGAGCCAATTTCACATGTAATTTCTCCCCAATAAGTGGTATTTGAGCTGTAGTGAAGATTTAAAAAAAAACCAAGATGATGTCTGGGATAAAGTTTGAGCAGATTGAGCAGTTTGATGGAAAGAATAATTTCAACATCTGGCAGAGTAGCACCACAAGGAGAAAAGCCAGAAAAGATGAAATATGAAGATTGTGAAGAATTAGAAGTGAGAGCAGTAAGCACTATTCGTTTAAGTTTGTCTCTTGAACTGAAATATAGTGTTATGAATGAGACATCTCCTTCTGAGTTATGGAAAAAATTAGAAAAAGTTTATATGTCGAAATCCTTAATAAATAGACTATATTTGAAGAAGTAATTGTATGAGTTGAAGATGGGTGAAGAAAGTGATGTTAGGGACCATATAAATAATCTTAATAAGTACATAACTCAATTATTAAGTGTAGAAGTCAAAATTGATAAAGAAGATAAAGTGATAATTTTGTTGGCCTCTCTACCCAAATCATATGAGACTTTAGTGACTATACTTTTAGTTAGAAAGACAACGTTGATTGTGAATGAGGTGTCGACTGCTCTGTTAGAGACTGCAAATATGAGAAAACCTAGTGTTAAGTCTCATAATAAATAAGTTTTAGTAGCACAGTCATATTCGAATAGGGGTAGGAACAAGTCACGAGGGAGATGTTATAATAAGAGAGATGATCATTCCCAATCCCGTCCAAGGAAGGATATTGAGTACAACTATTGTCATAAGAAGGGGCATATTAAGAGAAATTGTGAAGAATAGACGAGGGGCCTTAAAGAGAAGAGAAAACAAGAAACCCAAAAGACTTCAGATTCTGTAAATGTTGTTGGCAATAGTTATGATAGTGAAGATGATATTTATTCTGTTATTGCTTATGAAAATATTTCTGGCTCTTGGATTTTTGATTCTGAATGCCAGCTTCATATGTGCCCACATAAAGAGTGGTTTGATTCCTATAAATCCTGTGATGTCGGTACTTTGTTGATGGCTGATGAATCTAGTGCTAAAGCTGTTGTAATAGGTACTGTGAAGGTGAAGATGTTTGATAGAGTGGTGGGGGCATTGACAAATGTTAGGCATGTTCCTCAACTAAAGAGAAGTTTGATTTCTTTAGGGGCTTTAGACACTTTGGGTTGTGAGTACTATGTGAATGGTGGTTTTATACAAGTCAAGAGATGTGATTTAGTAGCCACGAATGATGAAAAGTGAAAAGCTTGTATAAGCTAATTGGGACGACAGTTGTAGATGGAGCTATGAAGGTGGAGTCAAGCCATGAAGAATCTTTTTTTGTTGTTAAAGAAGTCGCAGGAGTAAAAGAGTGCAACAAGATGATGACAATTGAAGATAATAAAAGTAAGATGGTGAAGACTTATGGCAATGAAGATGCTTTGAAGAAGAAGAAGAAGATAATTTCTCGTGTTAAGTTTGATGAGAGTTTGAACTTGACGCATGTTTATTCTTGTTGAAGTTTGCATTATTATCACTCTATCTATGAGGGTGCAACGATGAGTGTTGAGATTGGATACCTGAATATGTGAGTTGAGAGAGTTTGAGTCAAGGTGGAGATTGTTATGTAAGTGATTCAAATTGGTTATGAAAAAGTTACTATTTTACGTTTTTTGAGTAAGTTACTGTTTTATATATTTGGGCAAAGGTTATTAGGAGTCTATAAATAAGTGTTTTGTGTAAAATTTTATGTGTGCTCAAAGAAAAGTGCAGAGAAAGAGTGCATTATTTTAAGAGCGAGAGAAAGTGAGGAGAGAGAAAGACAAAGGGTGTAAGGGACTTTGGATAGAGAGAGAAAGTGAGAAAGTTTATTGAGTGTGTAATTCTTAAAACTGTCAGTGAATTTTTCTCCCTCTTCCGTGGAAAGAGTGTTTCCTTTTGAGAGAGAGAGAGAGAGAGAGAAGTAAGAGAAATAGGTAGGGTGTAAGGGGTTTTGGATAGAGAGAGAAATTGAGAAAGTTGTATGAGTCTGTAAGTCTGAAATTTTTAGTGAATTTTTTTCATTTTCCATAGACGTAAGAAATTTTCTGAGCCACCTAAATCTTTATCTTCTCTATTTTCTATTATTTTTATTTTAGTTTATTTTCTGTTGCATGGGTGTAAGGATGTGTTTTCCCTGACAGTTATTACTTTGTATATTTACCTTCACTGGCTCAACCTTGATCAATGAATCTAACCTGTGCGGAACGTTTTGTCAACCGTACGTGCTAATTTTCTTCTTATTTAGATCCTCTTCTTATTTCTTAAATATTCATGATCTAGACTTTGCTTCTTAATGTGCATAATAAATCGGTTGGAATATCATTAATCGACATGATAATGATACGGCATGTTCTAGCAATTGAATTGGCAGGCAGAAGGAGGAATTTAAGCATAATTAATTAACAACAAATTGATCAGGAGAAGAAGCTGGTAGCACCCTTTTGCTATTTTATATATATGAAGATATGAAGAATGCGATGTTTTTCTTAATATTAATTGATATGAGGGGAAAAAAAAAGAAAGAAAAGGAACCAATTAAAGACTATTATATCTCCAAAGTATGTGACAAATTTAATTAGTTTCTAGCTAGTAACGAAAGGAAATAAATACAATATACATGGTGGCTTAGTTAAACAAAGTAAAAAAAAAGAGTGGTGGAGACAATGTAAAATATGGAAGTGGGGTCAAAAGATCTTATCAAAAACGACTGATTTGTCGAGCAAAATCTAGGGGCTCTTCTTTCGTGGGACCCACGCAAAGATTTGCTCCCACTTGCTTCTCTATAAAACGTTCACAACACTTCCTCTCAAGCCCCCCCTCCCCTTCTTTTTCAACTTCCTTTCTTTTCCAACTTCTTTTCTTGTTTTTTCTCGTTTTTGTCCATTCTCCAATATTCTCCACCACCTAGCTATACCAACTAAGCTAGCTCTGCAGCTTATTTTCTAATCAGTTAACCTAATAAGTAATTAACAACCCCACATCTCTCTCACACTTGTTCTAATAATTATATTATATGATGATTTTTTCCATTAATATTGTTTAGCTCCAATAATAATTCTTTTCTCTCTTTTTTTTTTCTATATTATCATGTAGATGTTGAGTTTAAGTGGGTTTTTTTTTTTTTTTTTTTTTTGGTTCGTGTGACATGTATATAGGAGAATGAAGGAGAGTGGTGGTAGAAAACAAGGAGCAATATCACCATGCGCGGCGTGCAAGCTTCTGAGGAGGCGATGCGCGCAGGATTGTGTGTTTGCTCCCTATTTTCCAGCTGATGAACCCCAGAAGTTTGCCAGCGTTCATAAGGTCTTTGGTGCTAGCAATGTCAACAAGATGTTGCAGGTTTGTTTTTTCATACACCTCTCTCTCTCTCTCCTCTTTTTATAGATACTATTCTCTCTCTTTCTCATGGCTGAATATATAAATTATCGGGAACATCAACTCCGATTATAATTTTTATATCAATTCGTTAGTTGTGATTGTTGAAAAAAATTACATCAATTATTAGTAAAAGAATGACAACTCAGTAGTTAATATAAAAGTTGAGATTAGAATTGATATTCTTGATGTAAATGTAAATGTAGCGCTTTAGAGCAGCCATATTATATACTTGATGGCATCTCCAAAGATTGAGTGCTATTGCCATCAGTATTATAATTAGAAAAATATAAATGTCCAAAGCAAATGATTTAACGTGAAGAAATTATTAGTTTTTAAAAGGATATAGTAACATTGAGTGGCTATCATTGGTTAACTTCTTGTTGATTCTTGCCAATAGGCGGTTTAGTTTATGATGCGGATGTCTATATATTATACAGTGCGGGCGAGTGTCAATTTGATTAGCAGACCCCAAAAGGCAATAAATTTTGAGAAATATATATATACATATATATATATATATATATGCATGCGCTAGTTAATTTGTTTTTTCTTTCCCTTAAAACTAAGTTTGAGAAATTCTAGCAAACAAAAAGAGTAGGCCTTTTGATAGGTACCAACCTAGTTGGGTTGCTCTACAAGTATCTCAAATCATTTAAAATAATTCCTAAACAAAAGTTATATAGAGATAATTAAGATATTTCATTACACATACTAATTATGTTACTCCCAAAACAAAAGTTATATAGAGATAATTAAGATATTTCATTACACATACTACTTATGTTACTCCCACAGGCTAAGAATTTTATAAAATATCTATAGCTTCTTCTTCTTCTTGAGCTTCTTTTCCCATTGTGTTAAAAAGTAATTACTATTATTTTATATTATTGTTATATGCATCCAAGTTTATATCAAACCGATAATTAAGGGCGACCAAAAAAAAAAAAAAGCACAAAAACCTTTAAACTAAAATGATCTAATCATATCACAAAAAACACGTCTATGGATTATCAATACACTCAATATTCGATCTTCTTTAGCTGATCCTTTAAATCCTTTTTTTTTTTTTTCCTTTTCTTCTTCTTTTCAACATTTTTAATGTCTTTTCTTTCCTTGAGACGAGGAGAAAGAAAAAAAAAAAAAAAAAAAACTACTCATTTATGGTCACACAAACATTTTTCTTGCCTTTTTGACTCAGATTTTTCATCTCACAGAATCTATCGACCAACTTGGTAGCTAGCCAGTAATTCTATTTTTGGCTAGAATCCAATGTTTTATAGGTTGCTTCCTTGGGGCAGATGTTTTTTCCTTTGTTTCTTCTGATCAGGTTGAAGAAACTTTTTAGGTTGTTCTGCAATTCCCCTTTTTCTTTGCTTAAAATTATTATTAATTCCCAGTTGATATGTATGTGTGTGTACGCGCATATATATATATATATATATATACACATATATATGTGTGTGCGCGCGCATATCTTTTACTGTTTTTAAGAAGAACATGTTGAAGAAAAGGTAAAAAGTGTGCTTGTAGCTATAGTTCTTTACTCTCCAACTTTAATTACTACCGTTATAGTGGTTGGTTACAGTTGAAGACCGCCAAAAGTGATTTCAATTCTCTCTTTCTTTTAAGAAAAAAGTCATTGTTTACCCCAAATGATTTTATTATATACGTATAAAATAGAAGAATAAACTAAGAATCACAAATTAGCATTATGAACCTGTAGATGATGATAAAGATTAAAAAATAAAGTACATTAGTGGTTTCTAAAGACTATAGTGTTGTACCATTTCTATACCTAATTTCTACTTTAATTATGAGCATTAAGTTGCTTTTTGCTTTTTCTTGTTTTTTGGGAGTTAAACTTATTGACGTCTTTTTTTCTTTTTTTCTTTTTTTATAGTTCTTCACATAAGAAAATTTAAGAAAGTACTTCTCATATGCATATATTTATGTGTATACATGTACTGCCATATATAATGACACCGTTTATTTTATTATTCGCCTTTTGCTTTATGATCGTGGGTTACATTGAAAATGACAAGGGCATGATAGCTAGTAGGTCCAAAAGAGAGGCTGATACGAGTAATAAGAAAGTAAATTAAAGTTTTTTGAATTTTAATTTGTTGCCCTTTTAAATTATATTTGAAAGATTATGAAATAAATATTTATGCGATAATCATGACGTCAAGATGATTATAAATACCATATAACTTGGTGCTTAATAATTAAGATATTTTATAGTTCACCATTAATTTGAATGGCTTTCTGATTTGGATTTGAAATATACATCATAGGTGGAATAAATATGTTAATAATATTATTGTCAAATCAAATCAACAACTTATAAAGATATCAATACATGCACCTAATGACCTTAAGAAATTATTAATCATGATGATGGATTTATTTATCAATATTTGTTTTTTTAAATTTAAGCTTTAAATTTCTAGTTACCCGCATCTTTTATTGTCACATCAATCTCACCGTTGCACGCCAAACAGGAAATAGGGATAGTAATATGCGATGTATTCTTTTTATTTTTCTTTTTCGTAGGTACTTTATCTTTTTCAGTTTAATTTAGATAATGGAATTTTCAGTGTCTAAAGTACTTTTTTGACCAAGAAAGATTTATTCCACACGCACCATGATTTTGTTGCAAAAAAATTATTTGTTGGGTTCACATTGGGAGTGACGGGATTGTTTTACACACTTTCATGAATATTTCTATAGACTAGAACCTCTCTAAAATAGATTTTTTTTTTTCCCGGCACAAAACTGAAACATTCTTGTTCATCATTGCTGGAGGGATGAGAAAAATCTAGAAATTTAATTGGGATGGGTTTAGAGGTACCAATATTATTGGGATGTCCCCATAAAAATCTTGATGTTAGTTATTTCTGCCCTTCTTTTATGCACATATAAAAAAAGGTAACATTATGAAACTTTTTTATATTTTTAGCACTCGTCACAACATGTATCATTCTATATAGAATGTAACTTATTGATTTGTTAATTTGTTACAGAAAATAAATAAATAATAAAGATTACAAATGGATATCGAATCCCTAGATCTCCACCCAAAACCCTTCCTAAACTCCTTCCTCGTGCCATTGGAGACCAAAGTTCTTAGCTCATCAGTATGAGACATTAATTTGTTACATCATTTAAGATCTGATATTAATTATCCTCTATTATCATTCAAATAATTTGTTACATCATTTCATCATATAATTAATTAATAACATTTTTGTCATGCGTAGACACATGAGTACTACATATGCACTTTACTTTACAATAGCAACGATCACCTATAAAAATATTAACATATATAAAGTCAAACACCTTATTTATTCATGATCATCTCTAGATCTATCTTTATTAAAAATCAGGATGTAAAACTTGTGTTAATTATAAATAAACATATAATTATGCAGGAACTTCCAGAGCACCAACGAAGTGATGCAGTGAGCTCAATGGTATATGAAGCAAATGCAAGAGTTAGAGATCCAGTGTATGGCTGTGTTGGAGCAATATCATCTTTACAACAACAAATTGATGTTCTCCAAACCCAATTGGCCATAGCACAAGCAGAAGTAGTCCACATGAGAATGCACCAACTCCCTTCCACACCCAATCCGCCCACCAACTTATCAGATCAAAATAACGGCAACTCCTCAACCAAGCATAATACCAAGTCCTTTTTTACCATGGACATGGTGATAGATCATCATCAGTCTAATAATATGGGAGAGTCTTTATGGTCATGTTAGTTATACATGTCATTATATATAGGTATATATATATGCCGTATATTTGATCTTTCTCATTTTATCTATTTTCTTGTCACTATGCAGAGCATCATGGGCTTGCTTTTTGTTGTCTGCCTTCTTTTACCTTTTTTTTTCATTTTTCTTAGATATTACATATATATTTGTGGGAAGCATGCATCTCTATTTGAAGAGATCATGATCATATGGGGAATATGATAATTAACCATATTGTAAATTTCTAATCATGTAATTATGAGGTACAAGTTTTGAATGCGTTCCCTTTCCAGTCAGCATATTCTTTTTTATCAATTTATGTAAAAGAGAAACGTTAATATCACTTTTTTTGTCATACTCTACATTTACTGTTTGACATGGGGATTCTAATAATATGATATATATATTATTTAAATAAGAAATGAAATAGTAAAGTTCATGTGTCAAACACTAAATGCATAGAGTGACAAAGAAAGTGATAGAAAGAATGACCTTAATATTTTTCTTACCTTAAAATAAGTCATTATGCCATTCGGAACTTAAGCACATATACCACAAATATAGAATTTGGACACCAACTTATGTGTATTAATATGGCCTTAAGTTTCTGATCTTGTTTATATATTCAAAAGATGTTAATTTACAACTTTTTTTAAAGGGAAAAAAAAGAATTGATATTGATATAGGGAACTTTAACACATCCCAACAATATATATTGATACTCACTACTCTTATATCTTATACCGAGCCTCAACCCAATTTATTACATAAAAAAAATTACAAGATTCGAAGAAAGTGAATTAGCCTCAAAGGCAGCACAAAATAAACATGCCGAAAAGGTTTACAAAATTCGACATTTATTTAATTACTAAAAGGAGAACATAAACTAGCATGCATTAAACTTATTCTGAGATAATAATGTCTCTTGTTCCACTCAAAAGAGGCAGATGACGCTTCATTAAAACCCACGAATATTAACCCCTTAGATTGTATGATTACCTAAAGGCAATGATATCTAACTTAATGTGCATGAAACTTCAATTGATATCTCCTTTAAAGGAGACGAAACCGAGAAAAAAAAAATATGGCGCTAAATTCCACCATATAAATCATAATCTACACTTGATTATTTGTACAACTCAAATCCCTTTCTTTTTTTTTCTTTTTTTTTTTTTTTTTTTTTTTTTTCAATAAAACCCCTTTTTTTTTTTTTTTTTTTTTTTTTTTTTTTTTTTTTTACAATATTGTCAAATCCCTTTCTGATTCCAGCACAAAGAGCATCAACATCTTTTTCCCTTTTGGGATCATTTTAGTAATAGCGCTTTCCGCAAGTCAACCAAAGATTTTGAGGCAACTATATATATTATATCTTGATTTCATCTCTTTTTGATCAACTGCATAATTATCAATCTTCATCAAGCTACGTGCTATTTACCTCATTATTAACTTTGGGAGGTGCAACATCAATTAAGTTCGGTATAAATACAAGAAGAATCCGAACCTTGGAAATAGTTAGACCAATAGCAAGAGGGTAAAATTAATTAAAATGGGTGCATTGCTGGAGGATTCCGTCTGAATTGTTCCCGTATTTTCTGAATCAAAGATCGTAGACCCATTCATTTTCATACGTATGATATGCGGGTTCAGAGGGTGTCAATCTAATTAGAATGTTTTGAGTAACTTCGAAATCAGTTATTCTTTTTCACCATTCATATACATATGATATGCGCTTAATTAACTAGTTTTATTAGAGAAACCATTGCATGGTGCTATACATATGGTGACCACTGTGACAGCTACCCTTCTTACATATAGGACATATGGGGCATTGGCAATATATAAAAACGCCAAAGCCGCATGCACATGTATATGTTTAATATTAGCAAACATATGCATGAATGTGCACACAAGCTTTATGGAAGTAAAGCAAAGTAACATATGATTGCTTCACAATTCAGATTGCAGGAAATCAGTATTAGGTTTCCTTATCAGATACAAACATAATATTGATCATAGATGTCTGCATACCTTTATATCTTTGTCGTCCTCACAACCATATAGATGATATGTATATGGTAGTTAAACCACCCATCTCATATGTCCCACTTACTTTAAAGTTTCTATATATAAAAAGTCATGTGCATGATAGGAACATTGCAACTACACATTCTATATAAATTGTTTTTAATTATTTTGTGACAAAATTAGCATATATATATATATATATATATATATAAACATGTGTATATATATTAAGGAGATTCTACATTTAGAGAACCCTACTAGAGGGTCCCATCATGCTACTCACCACGATTATATGATTTGAGTCAAAGACTATGCATATTGCATGAGTTAAATACTATCACAGGGTTTTTTTGAGCGACACCATTACAATCATTATGCTACGTTTGGAGCAAGGATTCGTGATATGATTCGGATAATGGTTTGTGACTCGTTATAGTGTTTTCTCTCACAAAAAATACACGTAAACCGAGAATGATTCTAAATTATAGTTCTGAACCCATGAACCAAACGTCCACTAATAAAAATTATTGAATTATTTAAATCATGCGGTTAAGGTCAATGTCTTCCTACGGTAGAGTACTATCTTACTGTATTGGCTAGGGCTGAAGTGATTTTAGACTTTCTAATTGACGAAATTAGTATCACTTAAACTCTTCTTTTTCAAGCGTGGTCCTAGCAGATTGCCCAGTGGTCGGCATGAGAATATCACTGATTCGAAGAAAAAAGATGTCCTTCTGTAGAATCTTCCTAAACTAATATGTGAATTATATAAAATCGTACGGCTAGACTGAAATGGGGTTGATCAAGTATAGAGTGCAACACTATTGGAGGGAGGAATGGTTAATGTTTCTTGATCACATATTCACAAGTTACCACCTAGCTAGCTACCAGCTAGTTAGTTCTAAAAAGCCAAAAATGTTTTCCTAAAAAAAAATTTGAAAACTAGTTACCCATTTAGTTTATAGATTTGGACATAAATTGTAATTCAAACTTATAAAACTTGGCCACCTGCAAAGCTTGAACCCCACAAACTAAGAGAGAGGGAGAGGGAAGAGAGAGGGAGAGGGGGAGGGAGGGAGGGAGGGAGAGACAGAGAGAGGGAGAGAGAGAGAGATGAGATACATATCATTAACTTGACAAGCATTCTAGCGTCTTATTTCAAATTATACGATAAATAGTATAATTAAGGGCTAAATAATTTGGGTTTTATATAATAGACCTAATTAGATGGAACAATATGGAAGTGACGCTTTCTGAAGCAGTTAAATAATGGTGCTTTTACAGTACTGTGTCGCTTTCAACATCCGGACGAGGGATCCACATTTATGAAACCTCAACAACTTTTCTAGCATTTCTATCAAAAAAAAAAAAAAAATCTCTAAGCTCTCTTGCAAGGAAAATGTTTCACTGTAGTCGAGTCTTACATATAAATATATGCAATATGAAAGCCAAGTCAACGTTGTTTTGCTGCTAGTTGTAATAAATAAATAAAGAAATAAAAGCACTCCGATTTGGTCCTAACTATATGTAAGGATAATCACATAAAAACGACATCAACAGAGAAAGGCATCCCAGGGAATAAAATGCACGTCGTTTGGGGCAGCTGAAGAACTGTCTATGTTGAGCTGGATATTTTGATTACTTCAGCCAATCAAAATAGGGCACGTGGTAAGGTCTGTTTACTAGTTGACCATTTTGCTATATATATATTGGAAGACTCTGGAACGTGGATTATTCACCTCATTTGCTTCTTCACGGGTAAACAAACGAAGAGAGAGAAAGTGGTATTCTTCAGAAGAGATTTCTAGAGAGAGAAACTCTAGGGATTTCCGAGAAAGAGAGAAATTATAAGCTTGGGAACAAGGGGATCTGAGAGTTCTTGAGTTTTGTTCTTCCATTAGGAATTCATCTTGCTGTACGTTTAATTTCATCTCTTGGGTGTGAGTTCTCTATAATTTGGGGAAATCTCGGGTTTATGAGGAATTGAGGGTGTACTTTCTCTGAATAGTGAAAAGCGTCTTTCTGCGGAAGAGCTCAACGGGGATGCAGGAATTTATTCCGAACCTCGGTCAAACAAGTCTCCTGTGTTTCTTATTCTTCTTGTTTTCTTTAGTTTCTTGTAATTCCTGCGAGTTTGGTGTTGGAATCGCACCAACAGTGGTATCAGAGCTTTAGGGTTTGAGATCGGTGAAGAAGCTCGCGGGTAAATCTTGAGTTTCTTGTTCAAGATTTTACGGATTTGACAAGAATGGGCACAGCAAGATTCGAACTGGAAAAGTTCGATGGAACCGGTGATTTTGGGCTATGGAGGAAAAAGCTCAGGGCTATTCTAGTTTAGCAAAAAGTGGCAAAGGCACTAAGAGACATGAAGGATGTTTCTGGAACCGAAGAAGAAAAGAAGGAGATGCAAGAAATTGCATTTTCAAACATCATCATGAACCTGTCAGATAATGTACTCAGGCAGGTCAACGAAGAAGACACCGCGGTATGGCTCAAACTCGAGCAATTATATATGACTAAGTCTTTAACTAATAAGATTTATCTCAAGACAAGTTTGTTTAGTTATAGGATGGATCCTAACAAGAGTCTTGAAAAAAATCTTGATGACTTTAATAAAATAATTATAGACTTAGCCAATATTGGAGAGAAAATAGAAGAAGAAAACCAAGCCGTGATCTTACTTATTTCTCTACCCGAAACCTTTAAAGAAGTTAAAAATGCTATTAAGTATGGGAGAGAAAGCTTGACTTTAGAAGATGTTTTGTCAGCCTTGAGATCAAGAGAATTAGAAATTAAGAATGAACTGTCTGCCATGGGTGATGAAGGTTTATTTTCGAGAGGTAGGCCACAGAAAAGAGATTTAGAAAAATCAAAATATAGACCCAGTTCTAGATCTAAGTCCAAATCTAGTCAAAGGAAATGTTTCTTTTGCAATAAGCCTGGTCACATAAAAAGACACTGCCATAAGTGGAAGAAGCAGTTGGCTGAGAAACCAAATGAGGGTGGAGATGCTGCTATAGCCAGTCAATGTGATGGTTAGGAAAGCTCAGAGATACTTGCTGTGTCTCTAGCCCAAAATGAAGAAGAATGGATTCTAGACTCAGGGTGCACTTATCATATGTGCCCCATGAAAGAGTGGTTTTAAGAGTATGAAAACATTAATGGAGGGAATGTGTTGATGGGA